CTCCATGCCAGGCACTGTGATAAGTCCTTTATACACTGATTTCTTCAGCATGTACATACTTTATACTTTGTATATCGTTTTCTCAAAACAGGCTGTAAGTTAGGCGTTATTTTCCTGACATTTAAAAGAAGAAACTGTTGTACCCAAGGCAATACAAATAGTCTAAGCAAATTTGGCTGACTACGAAGCCCACACTCTAACCTGCACTACATGGATCCTCAGTGACTATATAATCAATCAGATGCTAAATTGTGTAGCATGGATACAAGCTAAGAATGGCAAAAAAGGAAGAGTTTACATACTAACTAGAGGTCACAGCAGAAAGTGTCATGAGGGAGGATAGACTTCAATTTGGCTTTAGAGAATGATTAGTAGTTAAATAAGCAAATAGAAAGGAGCTAGATATTCTAAATACCAAGTTATATAAAACTTGTGAAAAGGTCAGAAGGCAAGAATAGCATGATGGCATGAATAATGCCATGATCGGGGAGACAAGAGGGACAGCAGGGGTATACGATGTGTTCCAACGTGAATGTGCATCTTAAGTATAACATTTCAATTTTACATATTTTCACATCAGTGTGTAAATATGGTTTAGTCTACATAATATTCAACTCAATAATGTCAACTTTAATTTATATCAAAGGACTTCAGAAGCCTCTGGGAAGGTAATGTGTCATAATGCTTTTATAAGTGTTAAAGGTAGAAGAAAAGAGAAAGAAATTAAATTAGAATCCAGATTATCAAACTTTATTTTATTTTATTCCATAAAACCAAAGCCCCAAGGAAATCTCTTGATTTATAACCTCTCAAATTAATACATAAATCTGGGCTCTGGGCCGGCCCTGGGGATGAGGGGTTAAAGTTCCGCACACTCCACTTTGGTGGCCCAGGTTAGTAGGTTCAGATCCTGGGCGTGGACCTACTCCACTCATCAGCCATGCTATGGAGGCATCCCACATACAAAATAGAGGAAGAATGGCACTGATGCTAGCTCAGGGCAAATCTTCCTCACCAAAAAAACAATCTGGGCTCTAAGTAATAGCTGAAGCTTGGTATTCATATGTGACATCAACCAGGAGGATAAAAACCAAGCAATCCAAGCAGATAAACTCCAAGATTGCATCTCCAGATAGTAAAAACTGAAAAAGTGTCCAGATTCTTGGGTTGATCCTGCTTTGTCATCCATTTACTTCAGGCTGACTCATCCTGGAAAACCCCCACCTCATCTATCATGGTCTCCTCTAACCTTTTCCATTCAAAGCTATTTTCAACATTAGTCTTTTCAAAATTCGGAAAATGGAGAGATGCTTGTGCCCTGACCTAAAATATAGCCTAAGAAATAGCTGAAGAATGAGCACCCACTCTTAAAAAAACAAAACGAAAAAAAAAGGAAAGAAGAAAAGAAAAGAAAAGGCTAAGCTCATACCTAGGAGAGAAAGCACAATAACTCCAAAAAGAGAAGTAAAAGAATAGAGCAGAGTACTCCAGAGATCTATCAGGCCCTTGGAAAGAAATCTCTCCAAATGATGTTTAAAATGTCATAGAAGGAGGCAGAAAATAAAATCTAATGAATGAGTCCCAGAAAATAATTATAGTCCATTCACTGGACATCCATAATTCACAGTTAAGGTAAATTGATACTTTGTGTTTGTTTAAAAAATGATGAAAAATGAAATACATTAGGAGAAAATCTAAGTGATACATAAGGCAAGGGGCAATCTTTCAGCCTTTGGCATCCAGGAAGCCTAAGAGTTAATGCGTTTCTGAATTTTATAAGTGCAGTAAAACATCAATTTTAATTGCCTGTAATCTTAAGGCAAAACTTTTGGCACACATCCTTGTTCACAGCAACAACAGCACCACCAAGGATTTACTGAGCATTTGCCATGGGTCAGATACTGTTGTGAGCACTGCAGAGGATACAGCGCTGAAGGTGACAGATGAGGCCCTGTCCTTATGGAGCTTACGTTCTGTCATGAGGAATGATAAATACGGTTGGACCAGGGAACAAACCATGACTAATTCTCTGGTACAAAGAATCCTGCCTTATAAGGCAGAAGCTTTCTTGCTGAATTGCAATTTTACAGAGACCAGAATCTTTTCTAGTAGGAAAAACTTTCTGGTGTTTGTTTAATAGGTTTTGTGGACTTTAAAGGAGGTAGCATGGGAGAGAAAAGACTAATCCCATCAAGCCAGGGAAAGGTTAATGTTCTGACTCTGAACCCTGCCCATCCAGTAAACACAGTTCATCTGTGGCTTTGGTACAGAAGAACTTGGTTAATATAACAAATTTCTAGGACACTCTGCTACATTTGGAAGCAAAATGGGAAATAAACAAAGTTTGTTTTTGCTATTCCCTGCCATCTCCCTCATTCACTAAGTCTTCCCGTATTCCTCTCTTTTTCCTTTTTCTATTTTGAGATTTTTTTAATTCTTCAAAAATCAATGTTTTAATTTACTAGATGCATAAAGAATAAACCAAACTATAGTTTAATTTCCCTTACTTTATCCCTTTTGTCTTATCTGTATAAGTCCTTTTCTCTCTTTTTTTATCCCTCTTTGGTCCCTGACTTTCTTTCTACTCTACCATCCTTCTCATTCTGACCATTTCCCTCCAATTCCCCTTCCATCTTGCCAGGAAGAAAAAAAATAATCACTAGATATAGGGAAAGGTGGAGTCGAGTAAGACAAGGGGTTGGCAGTATGCTATATGTGCAGATAAATCCACTTCATAAGGATTTGTCCTTCTGAGTTTAAAAACTAGCCTTGTGTGAATAAATTTCACTAGAACTAGGGTTACCAGACGTAAGATTTAGAAGATTGTAAAAATAAAGTTTTATACATTTTCTTAGCTGTCTGACGTTCTTTCAAAACTCCTTTTGTGTTTTTGTATATACTGAACAATTTGCATGAGAGGAAGAGATGGGGAGAGAACTGGCCCTGTCTTTTGCCTCTCACCAGAGGCCCATTTTCAAATGTCTCTTTAAGCCCGATCTGGCCTCTTCTAAAACTGCATTCATATTGCATGCCTAGAACTCCTCACTTTACTGTCCCCCAGCCTGGCTCCCTGCAGGGCTATTGGGAATAAGATCTGCAAAATGTCCAGGTTTGGAGTCGGACTGATTCAGATTTGAAGCCCAGCTTCACATCTTATTAGCCCAATGGCCTTAGGCAAGTTACTTAACTCTCTCAACAGTTTTCTCTTCTGTAAAATGGTGCTCATAAAACCAAATCCATTATAATGTTATAAGCATCTTATGATCTAATCTGTAAATCTATTAATCACACTACGTGGCATATAGTTTTCATTTAATAAACCATATATATGACATATATACATATACATAAGAAAACATATATATTTACTCCATGTGCCCATCTTTTCCTCACATACATGTGCAATTACCTATCAACGCCATTTTCCCAGAGTTTTGCCCTTCTGCCCTTGAAGCATTCACATTTTTCCAAACTCACAATTAGCTAATGTAAGAATCTAATCACTGAGGATGTGCTAATGAGAAAGGCTAAGAGAAGAGGACAGTGACTACTGCCTGCCAACTCAAATACCCCTTAGTGGTAAAATATGACTCTTGGAAACAAAACTGTTCTAAAAATTGCATAAGCCAGAACTGTCATTCATGGTGTGAATTTTAAGCAGCAGCATCTGGGAGCTTAGTGTAGTAGCTCTCAGTAACTGACTGCTTCTGTTGCATGTGCTAATACCTAGGACACTACTAATTAAAAAATAAATAAATAAAACTTAAATGGGTAGTGTGTCCTTTTTTATATAAATTAAAATATTTGCTGAGACACTGCATTTGCCTAGGAACATTCTACAAGACAAATATAACTCCTAGGAAAATAGGGTCATGGGAGGGTCAAATGCCCATGTAATGTCTGTGATAAAGCAAAGCCTAGAACATAATTCTCTTTTCAAGTCAGTATTTCTAGACCTTACCATGTTGACTTCATGAGGTGTAACTAAATATAGGAAGTCCTGCTTTGAAATCACCCCCCGACCCCCAAACCCTCCCCACAAAAGACCCAAAATTTGTGAATTAGGCAATGGCAAGAAAGTAACACCCTCTGCCACAGTAGCAGGAAAGACGAGTAATGGACTCAGTGCCTGGCCATGCGAGTCAGCCACTTAGTCATTTTTCTAGAAGCTATCCATCATTGAGCACATTCCCGAATTTCATGTAACCTAATTTAAACGTCTAACTGGCTGTTCTGATCGGAATAAACATTGGATCAAAGTAAAACCTTGACGACCCTGACACCTAGTGGCTTGAAGAAAGTGGAGAAGGTCCAGCTTGGTTCAGTATCTCAAAACACACAGAATTTAACGATTATTAATATTATAAAATACTAATTCTAAAAGCAACCCCACAAAAGCCTATTTTGGCTCTCAATCTATCTTGCAGTCTATGCAAGGAGGTGAAAAAAACTTGCATTTGTAAAGTATATTATCCTTCAAACTTACGCATTTAGCAAATTTTTACTAATCTCCAGAGGTCAAACAAGAAAACTAAAGATAATGGGGAAAAAAATCTATTTTGGTATATTTATGACTCTTTTCCTTAATTTTGTATGTATACCCAGGTCTTTTACCTGGGCTTGAGGTGATTTTTCTCCTCCAGGATCCCCCTGTTAAATATAAAAGCCGTCTGGCCACGCCATCATAGACATTCCCTTTATGCTACTGAGGCATCTTAGTCAAAGGGTAGTTGGACCTTCACAAACCAGCAGCAGGTTCTTTTTAAGAAAAATACAAGGACATGTGGAAACCGCTAAAGTACACATCTAAAAGCAAAGATCACACTGAAAGCTGAGGAAGCTGTATGAACACGGCAGGTCAGCACAGCACAGCACACCTTATTTCTGCCTTAAACATTAAAAGAGAAGTCTCCCCAGACCCACCTGAACCTCTTAACAGGCAGGACGGCAGGAAGACTAAAGTGTTCATCTCCTCCACCAAGAAGAACTCTGACTCCTACCTGCTGACGTTTGAAGGCTAAATAATCCAGATTTTCCAGCTCCTTCCCAAGCTTCTGGTAGGTTTTCTGAAGGTCAGATTTGTCGGAAACATTTTTAAGAGACTCAAATGTCCTTTGAAACTGAAATTGAAAACAAAAGTAAGTCATTAGGATAGCAGCACATTTTTCTCAAATTCCTAACCGGCTAACAGAGAGAAATAGCCCATACTGAGCCTCAGTTTCTCCCGTTCATAATACAGGGATACCAAATGCTAGCTAATTGCCTTTCAATGAAATAACTAGGCACAATTATAGAGAATTAGAAACTGTATCCTAAAAACAAGCTACACTGTTGCATGAATGAAACTCCTGTTTAGTCCTCATTCCAACAAAAGAGCGTACTGCATTAAAAAAAAAAAAAAAAAAAACTCTTCATGTTTTAGGATACTCTGCTACATTTAAAGAAAAAAATTGCAATGAATGTATAATTTCAAATCATAATGAGGAAGTATTAAAAGAGTCCTCGCATTCTAATCATGGAAACAAATTTCTATAAAGGTAGCTGCTTGCCTCTGTAGAAATAACTATGCTTGAATAGGCACCCAGCAAACTTCAGCCAGGAAGCTCTCTCAGATCTTAGATTTCGAGAAGGAAGGGAAACTAACATTTTGATGATCAAAGCATATGTAGCATGTTCAACAAACGTTTATTCATTTCTGCTCTGTAACACGGTGAGTTACGAAATGAGTTCTGCTGAATCAGAATGCCTCTGTTCATCCTTATGTCAGAGACTAGATAAACACAAAGGAGACAAATTGCAGTGGGCACAGAATATCGTTCTGCTACTAATAATTAATCAAGCAAAGGGTGCTCACAAGAAATTGAATTCTTGGTTTATTTTAGTAAATTAGAACACACTTTGGAGGATTAGTGATTGAAAATGTCAAGTAATGTCATTTGCAAGAGATTTGCATTTGCTTTCTAGTCTCTTATTTCCCACATTCTCACTGCATGCCATTAGATAGATTTCTACAGATAGAGACTTCACCATCTTGAACACACCAGAACTCCACCGTGACTGTGATGCTTTGAGACAGGCTAATAAGATTTTATAGAATACAATTAAGTTTCCAGGGAAATTATTTGACCCTTACTATTTAAAACTCTACGGAATAAGTCATATTATAATGTCATTTTACTGAATTAAATCCTCAATTTCATGAGAGCAACATGTTTATCTCAATTCAAGGTGACAGAGGAAAAAGAAATGGGAAATAACAGTACTAAGCTTCCACAGCAGGACAGTAAATTAAATTCAACAAATAATCTTTTAGAACCTACTATGCACAAGACACTATGAATATAAAACATATTTCCTACCTCAAAGGAACTTGGAAACTAGACATGAAACTCAGAAACGAAAAGAACACTGACAACCCTGACATTGATTGAGCGCCTGCTCAGTGCCCGGACCTTTATGCTTTCCAATTTAATCCTCACGAGAACCACGGGCCCTCCTATTTCTCACCCCATCCTACGAGCAAGTAAACTGGGACTCAGAAAGTTTGAACTGGGTCTTTACTACAACATTTGTGCTTCTTCTACTCTACCATTAACTCCAACACAAGGTAGAACAGTAAAGGGAGTGCAAAAAGAGATAAAAGTAACACGTGCTGAAACAGAAAAAACTCATTGATCCTCATTGAGGGACTCGGGCCACATAGAAGGCACGAGGAAATGTGAGTTGGGGCTCAAATCACAGGAAGAGTTTTCAAAGCCTTAAAATGGGAACTGATTCTACCCATCTGTTTAAACACAGCCAAAGTGTTTAAACGAGCCAAAGTCTGCTCGTTTTTCCCCTTTTGTAGCATAGAAAACAAATTTCTTTTAATATAATTTTAATGACCTTTATATTAACTATTTAGTCATGTTGTCTGATCATTTCTGTGCCTTGCCCATTTCTTGGTCCCTTCTCACTTTGTTCAAATCAATAACAGATCCAAGATTCTAAACAATTTAAATAATTTTATCTATAATTACTATAAACCATTTTACCAATCAATCAGTTTAATTTTAAGCACTTTCTCTTCCCTAAGAAATATTAGCTCTACTTCTTAAATATTTCTTCTTTGTATTTGTCTCTGTGAACTTTATACAGCTCCAAGTAGGAACTTTCGGTTAAACACATTTGTAAGGTTTCAAAATAAGAAACATGAAAACCGATACTTCTGGGAAATATGTCCATGACCAAAGAAGAAAGGAAGAAAATCCAGTAATGATCCATCACCACAAAATGTTTCCATTAAAGGTCAGAGTTTGCATATGTGGAGACTTTAGCTTGAACTTTCATTATCAGGACTTATATCCTCCACTTATTGATACTAAATAGCTCAAAATACTCAAACTATGATGATTCACTCATATAAGTAGATTGTTTTACTTAAGACAATAAATAATGGCCAACGAGAGGTCATACAAAATCTATGGTGTAACTTTGGGTTAGATCCTTATTAAACATACTCCATCCCCATCTGCCCACATATACACTTAAAGATGCTAAAGAGTAAAAGCAGTCATTTGACCTTGCAGGTGAGGTTGAAGTACAGAAGATAAAAATAAGACAACGGTTAAGATGAGGTTTAGATTTTACTTAAAGAGATTCGAAGTTGACTTGATTTGAGGATTTTTTGTTCCAATAGATCACTGTGCTTGATCATTGAAACAGATCTCTTGAAATTTTCATTAGTTCAGTGCAATGAAATTTCATTGTATTGACTATTTCCCAAAATAAATAATCTCTCAGTTGAAGACAAATTGGGAAAGAAAGCACAATTACCCAAAGAAATTTTAATATTCCTGGATTTTACCTGTTCAAAGTTTTGAGAGGGAATTTAAAGTGAGCCAAGAACCCCAAAATAATTTGTCAAACACTGAATTTATCCTGTGTTAATATTTTTAACTCGTTACAAATCAAACTTAAACTTTAAAAAAAGCCCAGTTGGGGTCAGCCCAGTAGGTAAATTCATGCATTCTGCTTCAGTGGCCCAAGGTTCGCAGGTTCAGATCCCGGGCATGGACCTACACACCACTCATCAAGTCATGTTGTGGCAGCATCCCACATACAAAATAGAGGAAGATGTGAACTCAGCGACAATATTCCTCAAGCCAAAGAAGAAAGATTGGCAACAGATGTTAGCTCAGTGCCAATCTTCCTCGCCAAAAAAAAAAACCTGTGAATAAATCTGAACCCAGAACAAACCTAGGCATATTCTAAAACTGTTGAAACTGAATATTAAATTGGCATCTGAACTGAGAAACAAATCCAAATTCTGTCCTATTTGGCTACCTTATCAAATACCACAGGGCAGATAAGAATGAGAAGATGCAAACAGCATCTCTAAGCCCAACATTCACCATGAAAGTAAGCATTGTAGACATCCCAGAGTGTTTTCTCATCAAATTCCTTTCTCGTCAGAAATAACAATAATAGTAACCCACCGAATAAAACAACAGAGACCATGATTGCTCATCTCCCACTAAAATAACTGAAAATCTGTTTTGCAGGAAAGAGAAACATGAATAAAGCAGCAGAGAAAATGTCTAGTTTGACTCAGCATTCCCTCTTCCCAAAAACATTTTCCTCCTTTTCCTGACAACATATTTTTAGATAAATCTAAGCCAATGTTCCATACAAATACGCATTCAACGAGTTCACAAAAATTATGTAGATTCATGGAGTAATTTGAGAAAGAGAACAAGAAGAAACCAGCTGAAGCAGCAGGAAAAAATGCAGCCAGGGCTCTGGCAAGGAAAGCTTCCCCGGCCCTCGCTGCCAGCGCCCTGGCTGCCTCTTGCAGTCGGATCAATAGATTCAAACCACTGCGCAGCTCCAGCAGCCTGCTTATTCCCATAATGAAAAGACGCCCAGCAGCGCGGCTCCAAAAGCACAGCCAGCTCAACAGTTGTCATTTTTCCTTATTTAACATCTCGTGCATTTGTACAAGGTGGCTGGATGTTACCTGTAACATAAAAAGAAATCTCATACTCACAGCTTATGTCTACAAAAGAGTATCCAATAAGCACCTGATTGAAAGCACTGAATCACCAAGTGAGATCTTAGTGTCCCTATGATGCCAGTTTGAAACAATGCCAAGAGATTCTGGAGACTAAAGCAGAAGGAAGGAATAGTCAAAAGAATAATCTATTAATGCTCTACAAATATTAATGTTTAGAGTAAAAAGAAATTGTTTTAAGTATAAGAAATGGCTAATCCACCTTACTTAAATATGGCAATCACAGAGAATTCAAAGTGAAGTATTACTGAGAAAAAAGTGATTTCATTTTTCTGAACTTAATCCATTGACTTTCATACATATTTTCCAAATGAATGTACAAGATGATAATACACTCATTAAAAGGAAGATTACGGCTAGAGCAGAAAATTGAAACACATATATATCTCAAATGATCTTTTACTGTATGAAATGGTAGCAAAAGTTAAATTAAGAACATAGAACAAAATTGGGCTTGAGATCTAAATTAGAAATAGTCCTATGGAGTTGGAAGCACGTTGGTCTTGAAGTCTGAGTTCACGTGCTTGCTATGCCATTTAATAATTTCACACCTTTGGACGAGTCACTACTAATCCAATACTTGATGGTGTTATCTGTAAAATGGGAGAAATTGTCCTTGCCTGCCTACTTTAAAAGGTTGTTTTAAAAAACTGAACCTTTCAAAAATCTGAAAACAGTTGAGGAAAAATGAAAGACATTCATTCAGTGAATATGTCACACAGGCGTGGAAACATGCCAGCCTCACAAGAAATAGAGGAAAACAAAAGAGAAACAGCTCTTGCCCTAATAAAGCTTACAATCCAGCTTTACAGATTATTGCCTTATGAATTTGAAAGTTCCATACAATTGTAGACCATTGTCATTAAACTCATGACACCTTTCAGGACTGAATGAGAACTAAACAAAACAGTCATTCAATAATTGTTTTCTGAGCCTCATCTCAAATAGAAAGATACATTTATTTAGATTTTTTCTTGAATATTGTCACAAAATTTTTCTTATTTATTTTTAATTTTATGTTATTGTGACAAGAACACAACATGCAATCTATGCGCCTAAGCATTTTAA